GGTTACCATTACGTATTCGTCGGTGAACGACTAACTGACGAGATTAGAGATGCATCCACAGTTATCATTAAATTCGCCTGAGTGGTCAATAAGATCAGGTAAATTACTCTTATTACAAAACCAACCTTATCCTTAATTCGAACTAGAAGCATCGGTGGCCACTTACTTCGTACAGCATGAATCCAATGGTCAAAAAGTCCGCACCTCGTTGCTTGCGTACATCTTTCTGCATTAAACCAATTATGACAGTAGTCATGTCATCATTATCGTCGGGATCGGGGTCGGTCACATTGAAACGGAACTGACTATTTGTCCAAAAAGTACCTGTTGGTGAATCGAGGAGTTTTTAACACAGATTAAAGGGACTTTATCAGGTCACCACTAAATATATATTTGCAAACAGAGCAACTACAACAATAATAACGATGATGATAACCCTGAAAAAAACTACTCTCTTTGTATCGCTATGCGCAAAATTTAAACACGGAGAATGCTTCTGAATTCGTTCAGGTACCTGATGCCACAGTTCTGAGGTATACCCATTAAAAAGTACGTATCCTGATGACACCTAACAAAAGATCGACAGGGCTGTTTAGCAGTTTTGTAATTTATCTATTAAATTCATCGTTCACGATAACGTCATCCGGGTTGGTTAACACAAAACGTTCATATTCAACCTAGTCAGGTTGAACAAAATTTGGATCACGGCGTGACCTGAGAACTGAAGCTGGATAACAAAATCAACACCACATTGAAATGATTGGAAGAACTACATCAACTAACCAAAGAGGAGCACTGGAGAATGAGAACCAAAAACTCCGCTATCCCACAACTTTACAGACTGTCGAAAGCACACAAGGAATGAATTCCCCTGAGGCCGATCGTCTCCCTTTCAGGAACAGCCACATACAAGTTAGCAAAGGAATTATGGAAACGATTGAAGCTGCCCACCGCAGGACACGAGCATAGCGTCATGAACTCAAGGCAGTTCCAAGACAAGCTCCAAACTGTCAACATAGAAGAAGACGAAATAATGGTCTCGTTCGACGTCACCACTTTGTTCACTTCGATCGACTTGGACCTGGCAAGATCCACGTTGCGGGAATTGATAACTGAGCAACCACCAAACCAACCAATGGAATCAGTTGCAATTCCGAACTCATGGAACTATGCATGCAGACGTACTGAGAAGAACACCACTGGGATCACCAATTTCTGGAATCATAGCCGAACCCGTAATGCAGAAGCTGAAGAAAGAGGTACTACCAAGAATCATGCCAAAACTTTGATTCCGATACGTTGATGACACGTTCGTCATTTTGAAGAAGTCAGAAACAGAAAGAACGCACAAAACCGTCAACAACACATTTAATGGCATGAAGTTCACAATGGAGACAGAAAAGGATAAACAATTGGCATTTCTTGTCATCCAGATCATCAGAACACCATCAGGAAAACTGGAGACAACGGTCAACCGCAAAGCAGCGTATATGGATCAAATCGTAAACTTTAAAATAATCATCTATACAGCCAGAAAAGATTGTGTTAGAATCCTCTTCGGAGGAATCAAAACGCACTGCAGCACCGACATACTTAAGAAGAAAGAAGAAAGATATCTCCTCAGAGTTTTTGCTCACAACGGTTACACCCAAAACTTCATCAAAAGAACTTTAACCCGAGGAAAGAAAGAAACAACAGACGGAGAATCGGGAACAAGAACGACCCTGCCGTACATCGAGGACGTTTCGGAAATGACAGCAAGACTGCTCAGATCATGTGGAATTCAAGTTGCCCATAAACCCACCGCCTGTCTAAAGAGAATTCTGTAAAAAACAAAGGAGAGAACAATGGAGGGGACAAGAGCAGTGTTATCTACAAAATAAACTGCAAGAACTGCTCAAACACACTTTATCGGACGAACTGGGAGAAAACTGTCCATAAGGATCCGTGAACGCCAATCAGCAGTTGGGAGACATGACCTACTATCTTTGATTTTCCTCCACGAAGATCAAGAAGGAGATCAGTTTGACCTCGAATCAGTGAAAATTATCAACCAAGCTCGGTCAAAACACGCCTGAGAATTTCTCGAAGTTTGGCACTCCTCAATCAACTCAATAAACAGGCACATCGAGCTGAATCACGTGTACACGCCAATGCAACTCAGGGATCAAATGACGAAACAAAAAGGGTCAAACCGTGACCTGAGTACAGACCGAAACCGTAATCAGGGCAGAGGGACAACCATCTCCCCTACCAACCTCACCCCCACACACCAGTTTAACGGAGAACCGAGTCAAACACAATGAGAAAAAGGGACAAAATGGTCGATGGAGAAGAACACATATATAAACGAACGGATACAAGCAGAAGACTTCCACTTCACAAGCGCTGCTGATGTCATCTCGGCTGGTGATGAAACGTTTGCAAACAAATTGCCNGACCTTTATTTCATGAGGATGCATTCATCGCACACAGACAACGTGTCACTCATCACTGTAGTTTTCGTATTGGTACCATGGTTATTTGAAAGACGAGTGCATGATGGCATGGTTTTTTCATTATTGTTTTAATTTTTACTACTCATTAGTAGATGGTTAATGAACTAAAAAGTGAATAAGTTTACTGAATCTTCCAAAACACTTACTGCGGT